TAAAATAAAGACTAGCACAGCCAAAATGCTGCCTGTCCTACTGAAACTGCATTCCTAGGTGAACGTAGGTAATTTGTGGGTCCAACCTGTGAGCTTACAATTGCAAGGCGTGACTCAGACTCGGACTGTGACAATAGCAGCATTTATTTGCAAGGGCAAGAGATATAAGGAAAAAGGAAAGACTTTCTGAGGCCACACATGGCCAACTGTCCTACCCCAAACAGTGTCTCCAGTGCCTAGTAGTACAAAAGCTGCTTGTGAATGATGGAGTTGCCCCTCCAATGAGAGCCTGGAACTGCTTGCACACAGACGTAATAGCCTGGCACCCCACTCAGTAGTGGCAGCTGGAGGTAATCACAGGTGGTACTGCAGAGGTGATACAGCAACAGCCAGCAGCTCCTATCCAGAGGTCAGACGGGACAGCACCAGAAGCAGCAGAACCAGAAAGTGGTAGTACTGGAAGTTGGCAGTGGTACTGAAGGATCAGAAGTGTAGACAGCTCTTAGAGGTGGCCAGGCACAGGCCAGCAGCAGACAGCTCTTAGAAGCACCAGGCACAAGTCAGCAGTGCAGGTCAACAGGCAGTGTAAAGGACTAAGCAGCAGTGTACAGCTCTAGGTGGCAGTACAGGTGGTGCTGGAGACAGGAACAGCAGTCAGGCAGTTCAAAAAGCAGATGGGAAGATTTTCCCAGGCGAGTCTGGATGAGTATGTCCCAAGCTATCTGCTACCCTGGCTTTTGTGGCTCTTGAGGTCTGCATGCTGCAACAAGATTGGTACAATTTCAAAACCAGTGCTGTCTTCAAACTTTATTGGCACTGGCCCAGGTTCAAACCTGATTGGCACATTTTCAAAATTGAACAAGTTTCAAAGCCCAATCCCCACCAGCACATAAAACCCCACCTGCACTGAGGTCAGCCGCCTTGCTCTAGGGATGCAGCAGAGCCAGTCATGCGCCACCCCTGAACCAGGGACACAGCGCTGCTCTTACACTGCTCTGCACAGCATCCGCTGAGCAGAAACCAAGGTCCAAGCCAAGTCACAAGAGACAAACTGGCAGCTTCTCCACAGACACCCTTCTTCACCAGCAGTTTAACTGCTGAAGCCCCAGCTCCACCCCTTTTTACCATCTGCCTCCAGTCCATTCCTTCTACCAACAAATTGACTATGAGCGCCACTCACTGACTCGGAGGTTGCTCCTCACTGTTGCTCGTACACAGTCTATTTTATTTACTAGCATTTTTTTAAAACTTTATAATCAACAAATTCACTGATCTTTATAGATAAGTGGATCTTTGTAGATAATAGGTTTTTTTTTAATAGTAATCCATGAAATTGCCAAATTGCTTGACTCATCATACATCAGACTGTATTTCACAAGACTTGACAAAAATTTTGATTCATTTTATTCTAAATTATTTCAAGATAAGAAGAGTATGCAAACTTCCTTTGCATTATTTGGTCAGAGTTGCTAGTACCCCAATGTATTTGCAAGCAGGAGGCATAATTTGTTGTCACTGAGAGTACTGGCCATCCCCTAGCAAACTGAAAGGGCTGGAGGCAAGACTAGTCCTATTTCAACATCCAGAATAATTTGCATTAATATTTCTTTAACCCCCACATCTTCAGCAGGAAACAGTCCTGAAGGCATTGCATTCCCATGTTTATATCCCTTCACATTTTTTCTAACAAAGGACTACTGGGGATCCACATCCTATGTTCAAAAAAATTCCAGACTCTTCAGAGCAGCGTAGCTTTTTTTTTTTCCCAAAACATGTTACTCTGCCTTGAGGATGTTGGGCAACAGGTATCAGGAAAGAATGACCCTGCTTCTTAAAGGAGCTCACAGCCCCAGCTTCTATGGCTCAAGAAGTTCTGTTCCCCTGCTCTGCCCCCACCGCTCCCATCCTTGGTCCTTGTCTATAACATTACTATGGTTATAGGCTTGTGAAAGAAGACAGGGTACAGCCTCAAGATTTCACTTTATTTTTTTTAAAGATTTATTTATACAAGAACTGGGGTACAGGCCAGATGCGCAGGAGGGTGAGAGGATTCACCAGAGACAGAGTGGGGAGCAGAACAGGCAGACTAACGAAATACACTGCTGAGGGGAGAAGCCAGCCTGACAGGAGAGGTCTGCCACGCCATGTGGGACCCTCGGGGCTGCAGAGGCTATGGACAGCTTCACAGCACTGCACTCACCCGTCTGCGCCACCAGGGGAGGCCCTCAAGATTCACTTTAAATGTCTTCAGAAATCACAAAGTAGGTAGAGAGGAAAGCTGTTTGGAGGTCTAACTCTGGAAAACCGCAGGGGAGAACTGAGTAAGGCTGTTGTAAATATATTTGACTTAAACTCACAGTCCACAAGAATGAAATAACCTTGAGAATACCACACAGAGGTACCATGGATACATGAGCACTGTAAAGTTTTGTGTCATTACTTGTTGGCAAATCAATCACCTTCAGTGTATAAATTGTAAAGGGTAAGAGAACTATTTGCAGCTTGTGTGATGTTCTTGTAATGCATGCCAGACCTAGAAAGAAGTGTCTTGGCACTTTCCTGGGTTATTGCTTTACAAGGGACAAAGTGAGTCCTTATAAAAACACTTTCTGCATTTGATATTAGTGGCTCCTTTCATGAGGTGTTCCTGCTGCTTAGCCAGTAAGAGAAAAGATCACAGCTCTTGCTGCTGAGGAGGCCTGGAATTAAAAAACAACTGCCTCTGTCCTCACTCCTGGAGTTAAAGCCGCTAGTGCTAGTAACAATGATAAAACTAACATTTACTGGGCTTGTTACATTTTATTATTTCCCATTCTACAGATGAGGAAACTGAAGCACAAGGAAGGTAAGTAACTTGGCAAAACTCATATCTAGTAAAGGCAGAACCTGGATGAAAATCTAAGTCAAAAAACAAAAAATATTCTTCCCTGACGGATGGGTCTGCTCCAAAAATACCCTCTCCCTTTCCTCCCAAAGTCACTGATCTTCACTAATGCAACTAAGTGGATGTGAGTATTGATTGATTAGAATATAAGCACACATCTTTAAAAAAATAAAATCTTTAAATAAAAGTAAGAGGGAAAGAGAAGGAGCATTCTGTAAGTGTGCCAAGGTCCTGTGTTCTTTAGGAAGAGGATAGATAGTAAGGAATTAAAAAGAACTACAGTTGAAGTGTGAAATGTAACATAATATTCTAGATATGCTTGCTGATTTGTTTTAATGTGTTTTGCTGATCATTAATAATGTCAATCTAGCATTCAAATAAATGGGACTATAGTCCACAAATATCATTGTTTCTCTTAGGACTTAGTGTCCATCATCCAGTCACTAAAGGACCTAGAAAAATGTTGCAGTTCGGTACATCCACATTATTGTCACTAGAAGCTTTGTACCATTTGAAGTGATGGTCAGATAGTCAGGTCCAAACAGAAAACACTGGTATTTTCCCCACACTGAATTTTTTTTTTAAAGATTTATTTATTTATACACAAGCTGGGATACAGGCCAGATGCGCAGGAGGGTGAGAGGATTCACCAGAGTCAGAGTGGGGAACAGAACAGGCAGAGAGACCGAAATACACTGCAGAGGGGAGCAGCGGACACAACAGAAGACTTCTGCTGCACCATGTGGGACCCTCCCCCGCCAGCAGGAATCGAACTGGCACTGCAGAGGCTGCCAATAGCTTCATAGGGTGGCACTCAACTGCCTGCACCACCAGGGGAGGCCCTGAATCTTTTTTTTAAAGATTGATTTATTTATGCATACAAGAACTGGGGTACAGGCCAGAGGTGGGGGGGGTAAGAGGATTCACCAGAGACAGAGTGGGGAACAGAACAGGCAGACTAACTGAAATACACTGCTGAGGGGAGCATCGGGCAAGATAGGAGAGGTCTGCTGCACCTCTCTTAGCCAGTAAGAGAAAAGAAAAGATCTGTGATCTTTTCTCTTACTACCTACTGCATGTGGGTAGATCCCTGGCCAGGGATCTAACCTGTGCTGCAGAGGCTCTGGATAGATTCAGAGGTTGCATCTTAACCCCTTGCAACACCAGGGAGGCCCACACTGAATCTTAATGTTATTTTACACATGCTTCCTAGCTCAATTTGGGGTGGGGCACAGTGGAAGAGTGGAGGGGCCCTTGGGCATCACTGCCTCCCAATCTCTTAGATCAATGGAACACATTTTTGGATAGAATGTTACTTTTTCTTTATATTTGAGGGAGGCGGGAGAATGGGGAATCCTTCACATTATGATTTTGCACCTAAGGATATTTCTAACTTGAAGATACTCCAGTATTCAAAAAAAAAAAAAAAAATCCAAACCTGTAAAACAAGTTACCTATAGTAGCAGTGACAAGCCAAGATGCTAGGATTTACAAAATGCTTCATCCCAGGTATACATTCAATTACTCATCCCCTTTACACTTTCCTCATCGTGTTTCAGAAAGCTATTTACAAATGTCAGGCGTCTATAAAGTAAAGGTGCTTTCAAAAAAGTAGTCACTGATGATATAAGTTGTTTAAGAAAATTGAAAAATGCAATATTTTACATGCACAAATCCCTTGTAATTCCGGGGTCAACACTGTCACCATTTGGGTAGTTTTAAAACACCTGTCCATGTATGATGTGCACCGTCTATTTCTTGCAGCCCGCATGGTGTGTCTCCGCGTGGGCTGCTCCGCCCTCAAGGCCAGCAGCTTATCCTGGAATCCAGAGACACTCCTGCCTTTTCCCTTCTGCTCCACCTCCCTAAACTTTCCGGCTAGTCTCTTGGGCCTCTAGCTCGCTCCAGCCCTCCCAAGTCCAAGCCCGGCTTCGCGGAGCAAGGCAGAGAGCAAGGCGCGTCCCCTTGAACCGGGAGGCCGAGACCCCCCAGCGGCGCGCGCTCCCGCGCGGGCGCATCACGGCGGGCGCGCGCGCGCACCCCCGGGCGGAGACGCGCCGGGAAAAGCGCGCGGCCGCGATCCCGGGCGCCATCTTGGGCTCGCCGTCTCGGCCCAGGCGCGGGGCCCTACGCGGTGGCGGCAGCTCGCGCCGGGTGCCTCGCGCCGACTGGGGGTCTCAGGAGAAGACGCGGCGGCGCGGGCCGGAGAAGGAAGGCGTCTCCCTGGGCAGCCGGAGCGCCGCGGTGGAGCCGCGTTGGCGCCCGCCGCGGGACCTGCGCCTCGGATGCGGGCGGAGCGCGGGGGGCCGCCGCGGCGGGGGCGCTGAGCGGGAGGCCCGGGGCGCCTCATGTGAGGGTCGCGGGCCCGGCCGCCGCCGCCGCGGTTCCCGGAGCCCGGGGTGGTGTGTGGGGGAAGCCGCCTCCGGCAGCAGGTAACGGCGGGGCAGGGCCGAGCCCCGGTGCGGCCGGGGAGGGGCGCCGACATGGCTGGGTGTCGGGGTGGCCAGTGGGGGCGCGGGCCCGGGCGCGGGCGGGGGGCGCGGCGCGAGGACCTGGCGCCTGCCTGGGGGCGTTTCCCCGCGGTGCCCGCTGGAAAACATGTCAACAAGGCGTGGTGCGTGTGGGGCGCGGCCGCCCGCCCGCCCGCCCGCTCGCGGGCCCCGGGACTGACTCCCCGGGCGGGGCCCGCGACAGGTACCGGGCGTGGCGCGCGCTGCCAGCCCCTCCCGGCGTCGCCGGCTCCGCGGGCGCGTGTAACTTAAGAAACGGGGGCGTTGAGGTGTCAGAATAGACGGCCCGGCGTGGGGCGCCTGCGACCCGTCCGGGAGAGCCCGTGGGGGCGCCCCCGCCGCGGAGCCCGGGGAAACTTGGTTAACGTGTGCGGAACGGCGTCGCCCCTGCCCTTGGCGTGCGCGTCCGTTTCGGGTGGGGTTGCAGACCCGTCGGGGGGGTCAGCGGAAACCTCTTACCTCTGCGACTCCCGACTGAGAGGTGGGAGGTGACGGTGATGGTGGTGACGTTACTGGGTTTTGTTCCTGCTGGTGATGCCCAGCCCCGGGGCCAGATCGTGTCGTGGAGGCGCGTCCCCCCACCATTCCTGAGATGGTGATGCAAAAGCCATCGGCTCCCGGTTATCTTTAAAATTTTAGGTGTGTTTTCACCACCACCGCCTTCCTACTTGGTAGTTCTGAGTTCATGCAAACTTTGCTCTGCTTCAGTTGTGTATTCCGGTTAAAGAGCGTGTGTTGATGTTGACATTAGTTAAAACAGAACGTAGAGGGAAAGGAATTGTGATTCCTTTGGACTTTTTTTTTTTTAACCTTTCATTGGACTTTTTTTTTAACCTTTCATTTTTTATTTTTTAAGATTTATTTATACAAGAGCTGGGGTACAGTCAGAGGTGGGAGGGTGAGAGGACTCACCAGAGCCAGAGCAGGGAACAGAACAGGCAGACTGACGAAGTACACTGCTGAGGGGAGCAGCGGGCGGCAAGAGAGGTCTGCGGCGCCATGTGGGTATTTCCCTGGCCTGCTGGGAATCAAACTCTCACAGCAGAGGCTGCGGACAGCTTCACAGCACCGCGCTCAACCTGCTGCGCCACCGGGGAGGCCCTGCCCAGTGGACTTTTAAAATGACTTACATGCCCAGTGTACTTAAGGTGCCTCATACAATGAGGGACTCTCAGGTGAGTGTTCTGTTCCTCACCTAAGGTCAAGCTGGCTGTTCCTTTCAGAGTGTATGGAAATGTTTAGCATTTGTGCAGTCCTCCCTGTGCTGCTCAACTGGTTTGTGATTTTTCATTATTAGTTTGTTTTTTGGCATTTTCAGTAATGTTTGTTCCTCACCAATAGAGTATAGCAGCCTGTATTGCATCACTTATTTGGGGAAAATCTGTGAATTGCCAAAACTCTAAAGGGCCTGGTTTTGTTCCTTTACTCTCAGTGAGTTATATTATCCAGCATTCTCAGTGGCACAACCCCTGTTCAAACATAAGATGTTCGTTCTTTGACTAAAAGTAGGAAGGAAATAAATATTTTTTAACTTTCTGTGCTGCAGAGCATCATGTATAAATAGCTCTAATAAAATACTTTTGAGGGCCTCCCTGGTGGCGCAGTGGGTTGAGCGCAGAGCTGTGATGCTGTCCGCAGCCTCTGCAGCACGGGTTTGATTCCCAGCCGGCCAGGAAGATGCTCACATGGTGTGGCGACCTCTCCCGCTGCTCCCCAAAGCAGTGTATTTCCGTCAGTCTGCCTGTTCTGCTCCCTGCTCTGTTTCATGAATTCTCCCACCCTCCCGTGCCTCTGGCCTGTGCCCCAGTTCTTGTATAAATGAATCTTTAAAAAAGAGAGATTTAAAAAATAAAATAAAATACTTTTGAATGCAATGTGAAATTTTGTGAGAATAAAGTGACATCATCTTGGAAAATACTGGCTTTTGAACATTAGGAGCCCACGGAATTGTATTTTCGTGCATAAATGAGGATTAATGCAGACACCCTTTTTATCAGCATTTGGCCTTACATTTTTTTCCTATTGCCTAATATACTATCATTCTGACATAATACAGTCATACTACATAGAACAATTTACAGATTTTGTTCAGCTATTCATAACCTAGAAAGTGCTTAAAATATGCTTTAGTGATCAAATAGCTTTTCGTGGTATATAGATCAGCAGATACCGTTCCTCAGTGTTGCATACTAATTTTTAATATGACAACTTTTTCTTCCCTCAGCTTGGGAAAGGTATTGAAATAAACTTATTTGAAACAGGACTGTAGTTGAAAAAGTATTTATTGCTACGACCAGCAAAGTATTAGCAAAGATAATTATGTGAATAATAGTCATTATTTGTTTCTATATCCGCATAAACACCACTTCACTTTTTTAAAAATCTCTGTACCTCCAAATTCTGAGTAGTTTTAGGTTGCCAGAAGAGAAATTATAAGCCCTGGGTAGCAAACTCTTTGTTCCTTGACCCAAATTTTATATGCTAAAATTAAAGTAAGCCTTCAGGATAGGTTAAAGCAGAAAATTGGGTCATAATGACAGTGTTCTCTCAACCTCTAATGGGGACATTATTACTAGGAGAATTTTTTTAATATTAAAGATTGTAGATTATACTACCTTTTGAGAAAATGTATTCTTAGATTCACATGTGTGTTTCTGTGTTCTGTAAAACTACCCTCTTGCCATCAAAGACCTTTGTCATTCAGTTTTCTGTCTTCCTCTACCTCTGTTCAATAGAATATTCATCATTTACTTCTCTTTACTCACAGAGTTGGTAGTAGGAGCAAGAAAATAGGTAGTTTATTGCACATATGCTAAGTCTTCATAGGCTGATGTTATTGGATTCTGTATCCCTCATATCCCAGTCCTCTTTCATAAGTTTTGAAAGCTTCTAAATAGAGAGTGTGAGGATCGACTTGGCTTAGAATCATGCATATGCACATTTCTTTATCCCACACAGGAATCAGAAATTCGTGTACAGTGGTGTGTTAGAAGGGAGTTAGAACCACAAGCCATGAGTCTGAAAAATTATGACACGAAAATCCACTATCCTGCCCAGAGCTGCTCCCTAGAAACAACAGAAAAATAAATAAAAACAAGATCTTTTTATTTGATTACAGTGCATTTCGTTGATATTGGAAGAAATGTGTAAAATATAGAGGAAAGTACTCGCAAAAAGAGTTACCTGTAATGTCACTGCTATTATAATCAAGTAATATAATAAATATATAATTAATCCCATCACTATAATGCTACTATTGTAGTTACTATTAACGTTCAATAATTTGGTGGATCTACTTCCATTGTTTCGCACATGTTAGCATGGGTTCTTGGGCACACTTTCTCTCTTAGTCACTTAACTTTAAAAGATAGGTAGGGGGCCTCCCCTGGTGGCGCAGCGGTTGAGCACTGGGTTGTGAAGCTGCCTGCAACCTCTGCAGTGCCGGTTCAATCCCCAGCTATTCCCCGGCCACCAGAGGAGGGTCCCGCATGGCACGCAGACCTCTCCTGCCGCCCGCTGCTCCCCTCAGCAGTGTTCTTCGGTCCTTCTGCCTGCTCTGCTCCCCGCTCTGGCTCTGGTGAATTCTCTCACCCTCCCGCGCTTCTGGCTGTACCCAGTGCTTGTATAAATAGATAGATAGATAGATAGATAGATAGATAGATAGATAGATATAGATAGATAGATAGATAGATAGATAGATAAAAATAAATGAATAAATAAATCTTTAAAAAAATAAATAAAAAAAAGATAGGTAGGATTATTCTTTGCCCTGTTTGGCAATCTTTGTTTTTACTGTGTTGTATACTTTAATGTATGGCTTTAATACTGGGCTGCTTTCCCATATTTCAGTTAAGCAATTATCTGTTGCCTTTCAGAAACCTTAATAGTACTTTCATTCCTGACAAGAACCCTATGTGTTAATTATTCTTGTTTTACAAACTGAAGTGCAGGAAGGTCAAGTAATGAGAGGTAGGTAGGGACTGGATTGAACACTGCATAGCTGGATTCCAGAGCCCTTTCTGCTTTAACTGTTTTATTAGTTTGCAATAAGAAAACTTTTCAAAAAAACCAATGGAGTGAAAGTAGTACAGATACATAGAATAAACAAATTCCTATCATTCAGGGTGGAATTTGGGGGAAACATTGCAACTGAACTGTGATATGCTAGAAGAAGAAACCACATTCCACACCAAACAGTCATAATCAAGGATGAGTTTGTTTATTTTGAACATAGATTGGAAATGTCAGTAACATATAACTATTCACTGTGGTAAGATGTTAATTCATGTCTTTTAATAAAAAATCTATTTAATTCATGGCCTCCACATACAGTGGGTTGAGTGCAGCGCTGTGAAGCTGTCCGCAGCCTCTGCAGCGCGGGTTCGATCCTGGCCGGCCAGGGAGAACCCACTGCCTCGCCTGCTGATCTCCTCACCAATGTCTTTGTCCGTCTGCATGTTCTGCTCCCCGCTCTGTCTCTGGTGAATTCTTTCACCCTCCCGTGCCTCTGGCCTGTACCCCAGCTCTTGTATAAATAAATAAAATCTTAAAAAAACTATTTTATTCAAATTCTTTATTTGCTATTTAACTCATATCTTCTACGGAGATTGCTGGGACTCTCCTCTGTATTGAATTTAAGAACCTGAGGTAGCCTTAGGTGATTTTAAGGAAATCTTCAGAAGTATCACTGTGAGTTCTCTTACAAGTTGCTTTTAGTTAGTTGACTACAACTTTTGAAATATAAATCCTTGGTTTAATTTCAAAATCATAATGTTTCCCCCAAGTAGTATAGTATAGAGATGCAAAAAAGATATATAGAATTTGTAAAACCATAGTTGATCTTCACTGACATATTGTTATATTTTGTTTTGATACTCTTTCCTTAAATTAGATCTGATTCTACTCATGTGTTTGTGTTTGTATATATAAACATGTATACAAACGTCAGTGACAGAAGAATGAAATTTGGGTTCCTCTTTTTCAGAAGTACAAAAAAAATAATTCATTTTTCTGAATAGGATGAAACGAGGAAGAGAGAGTGACCGCATTGCCTCAGAAAAAGATACTGCAGAGAATGCCAAGAAACTCAGGACTGCAAATGAGCATTCTCAGACTTGTGATTGGGGGAATCTCCTTCAGGACATCATTCTCCAAGTGTTTAAGTATTTGCCTCTTCTTGACCGGGCTCATGCTTCACAAGTTTGCCGTAACTGGAACCAGGTATTTCACATGCCTGACTTGTGGAGATGTTTTGAATTTGAACTGAATCAGCCAGCTACATCTTACTTGAAAGCTACACATCCAGAGCTGATCAAACAGATTATTAAAAGACATTCAAATCATCTACAATATGTCAGCTTCAAGGTAATACTTTAAATCCGTCTTTTAAAAAATAAAACATTCAGCCACTTTTGTGTCCTGAACCAATACATCATCTCATGTCTTTACAATACTTCATTTTAGGGAAAGTGTTTAAAGGTCTAGGATTATTGTGTACTTAATACCTGACACAAGTGATCGTGTATGAGCTAAATTTTATTATTATAATTGATAATTTTTATATAATATAATTATTATAATTGATAATTTTGTAAAGGAGAAGCAACCCTAATTGGGGGCAAGAGTGGGGCAATGGTGGAAGGATCAAATTCCTCATGTTACCCCCGACCCCCTATACTCGCACACTTACCCACTCCCATTAAGAAACCTGAAGAGCCTTCCTTTCAGTTGCAGTCATCTTTGAGTTGTCAAAAAAATATTAAGTGGTAAATACTACCTAAGAAATGTGTATAATACATTAATCTCATAGGTTTAAAGGCCAATTCAATCAAGTGGATTGACTGGGTCAGTGTTGTATTTTTTTTTTTTTTAATTTATTCATTTATACGAGCACTGGGTACAGTCAGAAGCGCAGGAGGGTGAGAGAATTCACCAGAGCCATAGCGGGGAACAGAACAGGCAGACTGATGAAGAAATACACTGCTGAGGGGAGCAGCGGGCGCGGCAGGAAAGGTCTGTGTGCCATGTGGGACCCTCACCCGGTGGCTGGGGATTGGACCAGTGCTGCAGAGGCTGCGTGCAGCTTCGCAACCCGCGCTTAAGTGCTGCACCACCAGGGGAGGCCCCAGTGTTGTATTTTTATAGGCACTATATCCTGTTTGTAGAATCCTCACAAAACCATTTGTCCTATGTATTTAAACATTTGTATTCTATACATTTAAACAGTTTTGAGGAAATAATTTCTGATTTGCAGAAAGAGCCACATCACAGGATTCTCGTGAGCTCTCCTGATGTTTGTGTTTAAATCATGACTGACTCTATACCACAGAGGTTTGTAGTCAGTTACCAGTATAGACCAGTGCTTCTTAGACTTTGTATCAGAAACTGGAGAACTTATTATACAGATTATTGGGTTCCACCCCCAGAATTTATAGTCCTGATGGTCTGAGTTGGGTATGAGAATTTGCATTTCTGAAAAATTATCAGATGATGTTGATACTGGTCCCAGGACCACACTTTGAGAATCACTGGTGTAGAGAACCCTAACCAAAGGATTATATTATGAACACGTACAGAACTGTACCATAATCAGTTTGTTTTTTTTTAAAGATTTATTTATACGTACAAGAGCTGGGGTGTAGCCCAAAGGCGGTGGGTGGCTGGTAAGAAGATTCACCAGAGACAGAATGGAGAGCAGAACAAGCAGTTTGGCTAAAATACACTGCTGAGGGGAGCAGGGGGCAGGACAGGAGAGGTCTGCTGTGCCATGTGGGTCACCTCCTTGCCTGGGGATTGAACTCATGCTGCAGTGGCTGCCAATAATTTGATAGTGCTAAGACATAACCCCTTGTGCCACGAGGGAGGCCCCAGATCAGTTCTCAAGAATATTTTGGATTAAGGTAATGTATATCAATCTGGAAATTAAAATAATGGTATTACTTTCATCTATGCCTTATTTCACCTCTAATTTTTCCTTAGTATATTAATGATGAAACCCAGGTTATAATTCACCTGAACCTTCTAAGTAAATACTCAGTTTCTCAGTATAAAACATGTATGAGGTGACCTACCACCAAATACATAACTATTTTCGTAGATTGTAAGTTTATGTTTTTCATTAGGTTATTCAGTCAATTTAGGATCACTCAACTTGAAAGCCAGGTCCTTTCAGCATTGAATATCTCATCATGATAGAAGTCAAGTCTTGAAAATTGTCCTTATTTTCCAGAGAACCTCCAAAGAGACTGACAGTATATGTGAGAATTTAAATTTACAATTAAATTTAATTTAATGAACAAAAACTGTTTTTCTTGCTTTTGTAGTGAACAAAAAACTGTTTTTCTTGCTTTTATAAAATTACATGTACAGAGAAATGTAAATATATGTATGGATAAATGGTCCTTTCTTTTCTAGGTGGACAGCAGCAAAGAGTCAGCTGAGGCAGCTTGTGATATATTATCACAACTTGTGAATTGCTCTTTAAAAACACTAGGACTTATTTCAACTGCTCGGCCAAGCTTTATGGATTTGCCAAAGGTATCTGCTGGTTTTGTTATTAGTAGTCACTGAGAAATCTAGTGTAACCCTAACCATCTTTTATTGCCAGTGGGAGTGAATATAAGAAAAGTAGTATATATAATGGAAAACCATTACTCTGTGGAATGTTAAGCAATTGAATTTTTAAAAGGCTTTTCCTATTTTCATTACCTTATTCTTCCTCATTTGTAAGATTAAAAGTAAATTAATTTGCATTGGTTTTTATAGGAAATACTAACAAAGACTAAGTAAAATGAGAAAAGAGCATATTAGAAAAATGAGACATAAAGATGCTCTTTTTAGGATTTTTCAGAACAATGCGAAATTATAAACAAAGGAAAGTAGATAGTGCTGGTACTGAGAGCAGGTATAACTTATTTATAAAATCTTTTGTTAAGAGTATAAAGATACATTCTTCACAGAAGTTGGTATCAGTATAACTTGGGTTAACTTACTGATTTTATTTGAAGAAAACTTTTTTTGGCGAAGTTATTTTGTTTATTTGTATGAACATAATCCTGCACATAGAGATAGTCTTTCTCTAGGAGCTATTCTCTTAAATAGAAAAACTGATAAAGCCCCTTCTGTATGTTAGTTAATATTCAGTATGTTAGTATCTAATAATAATTTGAAGTGTTTTTCATATACATCACAGACACCCCTCTAAACACTTAGCGATTTAATTTACTAGGATGGTTCAGGAAGAAATATTACTAACTTGAGTATGTAACCCAGGTTGTTCATTGGAATATCAGTAACAAATGTATCATGATTTCAAAGTCTTACTAGATTTCAAAAGGGTCGTTAAATTTGTGTATTTGAGATATGAGGGAGAGAATTTATGTTATTTCAACATCCTAAGATTCAAAGTACATGTGTTAGATCTCTGTAGCTGTCAAACTTATTGTACCCAAAAACCATCTGAGTAACTTCTGAATTTTGGATTATTATCTATACAAAATTTTCCCTTCCCAATTAAGACCAATACGGATGACTCTCATTAAGATGATACAGGGCCCCTAAACAGCACCTGGTTACATGGTATAGTTGCCCCTTATTAAAACTTCATATAGAAAATGACATTTTCTCAATTGATTTTCTGTATACCTACCATAGTTAAATGTACATATTGTGTGTATAAAATACACTGTAGTAAAAGGTATGTTGAACATAATTTACTTTTTTTCTTATTAAGGTTATTATGTGCATTTAGTACTAGGACTGTATTGATATGTACTGTAGTTTTGTCTTTGGGAGCTATTGGTTCATCTAGAACTGCTTCCTTATTAAATGAGCTTAGGATATTTACACTCTTTATTTTATGACTTTTGTAGGACACTGAAATAGGTGTTGCTATATCTTGGAAATCCTGAGAGAAAAAGAGAGAACACAAAAGAAGTATAGTTGACCAGAGCTTAATCTGAGAGAAATAGGGAAAAGAAGGCAGTAATGCAGCCAAGAGAATACTAATGAAGAAATGTGATTGTTCAAGATACAGTTGTTTGATGTAAAAATGAGGAGAAAGATGGTAACCTTAAAGTAGCTTAACAGTTACCTAATCAAAATTTAAGTAGTTAAGCAGTTATTTAATCACCATAGGAAAAAGTAAGTAGAAAAACATGAGCAAGAGGATTGTGTTTCATTATACTTTCTTGCCTAATAGCCTTCCCGCATCTTGTTTACTACTATAGTGAATTTATAAAGTGAAGTAAAGGGTAAGATTGGTTATGTAGGAGAATGTATTGTAGCATGTATTGGATTAATAAATGCATTTTTTTTTCCATTGGTATGACCGGCTTCTAAGCTGTGATTCAGAGTTGCATAAACTTTGACCATGCTTTTAATTCCTATTTCCCTACATCAGTTGCTTTAAATTCAATTATGTGTCCAACAGATACTTACATAACTGGAAGGATATTAATTGGTACATTGTGGGAAAAATGCTTTTTAAAATATTGTAGATAATTTAACATGTTTAAAGGAGTTTTAAATGTGGAATTTAATTTAGGTATGATTCAGATTATTTTAGATCAAATTTGTATGAGCTTTCATATTGCAAAAGAGTCTTTCATAGCTTCTTAGCTGACTATTTGTAATGATTATGCTAATAGTTACTGCTACTTTAATAGCCATTGCTATCAGACCAATAGAGAATGCAGTTCAGTGTTGTAGAACACTAGTGAGAGTTTCAACACTAGAGTAGGGTTTCAAGATAAGATGATGTGAAGTGCCTGAGAGGTGTTATCTTGGGTTTCAGAATTTCTCTTTTTCTTACCATTGATTGGTTTGATTTAGCAACAATCATCCCGAAGCTTAAAACCTTTTCTTCTCGCACCTGTAAAAAGGCTCTTCTCAAAGATGGCAGATACCGCCTCTCTTTTTCCCCTTACTCCCATAACAGAATGGTTGCTACCCCTAAAACAGTAACATTAAGGTTTATGTGAACATTAAGGTTTATGTGCGGGGTTTCTCATTTGTAACCAAAGCGGTGTTTTACTGTTTTTGCTTTTCAGTCTCACTTTATCTCTGCACTGACGGTTGTGTTTGTAAATTCCAAATCCTTGTCCTCGCTTAAGATAGATGATACCCCAGTAGATGATCCATCCCTCAAAGTGCTGGTAGCCAACAACAGTGATACGCTCAAGCTGCTAAAAATGAGCAGCTGTCCTCACGTCTCTCCAGCAGGTAGGCTGCTTTTTTTGCCGTACACATTTTAGTAAACTGTGTTGAGGTATTTATCAAATTAAGAACTGTGATCATTAACCTTGAAGATGCACTAATTCTTTTTGCATAGTGTTTTTATAACTTCATAATACAGTAGCATAAATTCTGTACTATTCCTAGCCTATACACTTACTTTCAACTTATTTTCTAACCTTTCTTGGCAATTTGTGTCCAACCAGTACTACAAATAGAGTAAGTTTAAAAATGGAAAGGACAGGATGAAGACTGCTTGAGATGCCCCTTTAGGTAATATGGATTTTTTTCTATTTGTAGTTGGGCTAACAGGATAGGTTTTGGGTCAAAGCAAAAGTCATTATTGGTTTTCTTCTCACCATAGAAGAAGAGTTGTGCTAACTATTATAATGTTGCCTTACATTTTGCAAGTTAGTGCTTTCCTCAATTGAATTTTGGTACTGAATCTGTCAAATGGGGGAGTAACATGAAAGTCATTTCAAACCTCTCTTATATTTTCTAAGTGTCGCTGCATTATTCAGTTGGAGATCATTTAAATTCCACATGGCTTGTATTGCAGAGCTAAGCATAAACCTGTGCTTCATACTTGCAGTGCTCCTGCTGGTCCTCACCTTCCAGTACTTTGGCTGTGTGATTTGGGAAACTTGTTTTTAAGGGTCAGTGTTAGGTCTTTGATCCCTTTACAGAACACTTCCCATCTTCTTGCCAGAAATGACACTAGCCTTCTCTAAGAAAGTGACTCCTTCCTGGATGAAGAGCGCTTGTTCCAACTTCTCCCACCCTGACCTGTGATGGGAATAGTTTGACCTATTGCGGTTGTTCTGCAGTTGCTTCTGCCAAGTCTAGATCACTGAGGATGATAATAGATAAAGTAGAAGGGTGGACTTTGGCAGTTACTTCCTATGTGACCTTGGTCACATTTTACTATGTATAGCATGTATACTATGTTTACATCTGTTTAGGTTTGTTCTAAAAGTTAGGTCCATACTTCATAGCTTTATAGTGTACAGTGTCCTCTGTGTCCTTACCTCCACTTGTCTCTTAATCTTTTTTGCTACTCACATTCACATGCAGCTTTTACTTGAACTTGTATATAATAGTTCTTTGTACCTTTGTGTGTGGTCAGTACATTGAGGCTTGTGGGATACTTTCCCCCACTTCATTTAGCTAACTCTAGACCAGCCTTCAGAAATTCAGCTCAGATGTTCAGTTTTGTTTGTTTCCTCCTCCTTTCTGGTTTAGCTTCCCCAGCTAAACTATCCTTTCATAGTCCTCTCAACATGACTTGTGGCAGCTATCACACTATGTGAGGTGTCTTTCAGAAACCATGAGCTTGTTACCCTCTTTATCCGGGTGCATTCTGTGTTCATTTATTCTTTATTAAATACACACAACTTGCTTGATCTCACCTAGTGGCTTTTGGGCTAGTTATTTATGTTCTTTGTGATCTCATAAAGTCTGATATAAAAAGAAAACAAATGGGAAATAGTAACCAAATATGCAAGTTAAAGATAACAAGATATGATCTAATAACTACAAAAGCAATTTTGGCAGGCATGTTCTAAAAGTGGACCCCAAGAGTCCATGCCCTGATCCCTAGAATTTATGAACAAGATCTTATCATGTATATAGTCGTTAGTCATTTCTTCCTTGTATTTAGAAACAACAATGGAACAACAAAACACTCAATGTATTATCTGTTACTGTGCGAGTATGCGATGTCTGGTACTAGATAGGTTTTCCACAAATACTCAAAAATTTCAAAAATAAGTAATAGCTATTTTGAAGATTGCATTTTTGAAGAGACAATGAACTTGTACAAAAATTTGTAAATTAACTTTTTTTTCCCAAGGTATCCTTTGTGTGGCTGATCAGTGTCATGGCTTACGTGAACTGGCCCTGAACTACCACTTGTTAAGTGATGAATTGCTACTTGCTTTATCTTCTGAAAAACATGTTCGATTAGAACATTTGCGCATTGATGTAGTCAGTGAGAATCCTGGACAGACACACTTTCATACTATTCAGAAGAGCAGCTGGGATGCTTTCATCAGACATTCACCCAAAGTGAACTTAGTGATGTATTTTTTTTTATATGAAGAGGAATTTGATCCATTCTTTCGGTATGAGATACCTGCTACCCATCTTTACTTCGGGAGATCAGTAAGCAAAGATGTACTTGGTCGTGTGGGAATGACATGTCCTAGATTGGTTGAACTAGTAGTTTGTGCTAATGGATTACGGCCACTTGATGAAGAGTTAATTCGCATTGCAGAACGTTGCAAAAATTTATCTGCTATTGGACTTGGGGAGTGCGAAGTCTCATGTAGTGCCTTTGTTGAGTTTGTAAAAATGTGTGGTGGCCGCCTGTCTCAGTTATCCATTATGGAAGAAGTATTAATTCCTGACCAAAAGTATAGTTTGGAGCAGATTCACTGGGAAGTGTCCAAACATCTTGGTAGGGTGTGGTTTCCAGACATGATGCCTACTTGGTAAAAGCCGAATGATGTTAGAGCATGATGAATATCACCTTAACTTTTAACATATTGTATTATAATAAAAGTTTATTTCCTGTAGTTCTTATATTACTCTATTTTGTGGCACAGAAATTTGATAATCTAAATCGAGTATATAAGGATCATTTTTTGGAAGACCAGTGCAACAGTTTTGGTCAGAAAATTTCCTGTGTTTTAGATTAGTCAGCAGTCAAATCTCAGAAGAATATATGGCTCAGATTTGAGAGTAATAGCCAGTTATAAGGCTTACACCTTGTGTAGTCTGAAGGAAACAAAACATATATTATCCAAGATGTGAGAACTAATAGGTTTTCCAAAATGTTATGTTCTCTATGCATTTTTTAAAAATGTAAACTTGACATTTTAGGGTTTTCAGTTATACTTACACCTGTTATAAGGTGTTTAATATAGCTCAGGAAAGTGAGCTTTTTTTTTTTTTTTTTTTTGAGAAAAATGTGGGGTATATGTTGTGTTTAATGAAGGAGATTGTCCTCAAATGTTACAAAGTTATTTAACTAGGTATATGTAAGTAATTGGAACCTTAGAAAATTGATAAATGTCAAACAATGGTCATAGAAGAATAATAAACAGAGCCAAGAGCAAATTAAAATAGAAAGGAGGCTGTTTTAACTTTGTATAAACTTTTAGGTTTGTGCTATAATCTGCTAAATAATATATTTTCTATGATATGTTACTATATTTGTGGCACTTGAGGCATCATGTGTTATGTAAGGAATGCTTTACCAGTTTTCCTGGGTTTTACTTACCGTTGTTCAAACTAGTTCTGAAGAATTATACAATAATTGAAATGAAAACTTAATCTATTTTAAAAAGCCAAATTGAAATAATTAAAGGCAGAATTTAAAATGTTTGTTGTTCCTGTGAAAGGAGATGATTCTTCAGTGAATTTTTGTGATGGCTCATTTTTCTATTTTGGAATTAAATAGTTATGTAAGTAGAATTTTCAAAAATCTTAAAAGGAGCTCCATTGTACAGATCAGCATAAGTAAATTTAAAAGAGGATGTATTTATGTGCATAATCATTTTGGTTTAAATTTTGCTCAGTGGACTGCAAAATTTTAATAGAAAAGTGTTTGCAGTTTTGTGGATGTTAATTTGGTTAAACTGATAAATATTTTATATTATTTAAGTTAGGTAGCATTTTTATTACTTTCATATAAATAAAGGCAATTCCTTATGTTGTATAATCTGTAAAAATACTAAGTTTGGGGCTACATTTAGTTTTTAAAATATATTATAAAAAATTTGTTTCTGAGAGTTAGTCTTAGTAGATATTATTCTCCTCCTAAGGAAAATTAGAAGCTGTTTACCTCCAATGGAAATATTAATGCTTGGCCTTTTACAAAGTATCTTGGTAATTATGTGGAAGCTAATAGTCTTACAGATCTATTTTTAAAATAGATTCTCTTCCCAAGAATAAAAGGTATTTTTCTACATAATTTTTGCTTTTCAAAATAGATGGTGGTATTCTGACCACACATAGGAAGAAAGGCTGAATCCATACTTTTAATTTGGAAATTAAAAGTAATTACTATAATATTTTTCCCTCTTATAAAACAGTAAAAAGCTTTGATTGTACAAGAAATCTCTGTAAGTGTATGAACCTTGTTTTCCTTGAACAACTTTGGGAAATAGTTTTGAAAATACATAATGTTCTGCTAACCAAAGCTTTATTTGATAATTTGCTTTTTGTACAAATTGAATTACATAATGCTTGAAATACTTTAAAGTCACTTTATAAGTAAAATGCATATAGCACTTCATTGTTTATACTGTAAAGTATATGTTATATGTTTTTATGAATTTGAGAATAAAGATAGTTACTAATGTTACAGTTTCCTTACAGTTTTTTAAAACTACCCAAACATATATTGTTGATTTTAAATAAGTCAGTAAGTTAGACTTATAAATGTATTGTTTTTTGTTTCAAGTTGATATCTTACACAGTATTTAATATTAAATGTTTATGGCAGGATGGCTTTTTTGAAAATACATGATTGGGCAAATGGGATCTAGTCTTGAAATAAGCTATTTTCAAATTTTGTAAAGAAAATTGGTTAAATTAAAAATAGGTTTTCTTTGCATTTAGAACAAACATTCAAAACCACTTACTTAGAATTCTGAACCAAGGTCCTTGAAGCTAATAGTCCTTTTAGAGAATTATTTTTATGTAAATCCCCTACACTCAAAATAGTTTTAAACTATTCAAATTCTTTTCATCATCTGTCTTTATAGCTCTCAAGAAATGAAACTTTAGTTTACCCTGGTAATCTGGGCTATTTAGATTAAACAGGCATTATCAAGATTAAATCAATTTATTGCATTTGAAGAAATTTTTTATATTTGTGGGAAAACTTATGATAGAAGGGAATGTCAAGAAGGCTTAGGCCTGAACTAGGTCTTTACTCCGTTTACTGTAGGAACTACCTTTGCAGACTCTAGTGCCAGTTTATCTTGTAGGGTTGGTTTTAATGTTACCAAGAAGCCAGAAAAAAAATGTATCTGCTTGCTGACACCTTACCTTTAGCATAATCAGTATAAAAATAAACATATTAATATTCTATATTTTAAAAAATAGGAAGGAGAAAATCTAGAAAAACTCCAAGGAGCAGGAATCTAAAGAATAAACATACTGAAAACAAAGTCTAGCCAGCCCAGTCCATTTGCCTTGGCTATGGACAGGGGAAAAAAGCATGTGTGGATGACTTGGAACAATGCTCTGTATTACATGCCAACAATTTCCTTTAAAAGTTATCTTTTTTTTAATACTGTGCTGTCACCTTTTTAATTGAAGTTTCCTGTTTAAATATTACCAAAAACGATCATTAGACTGTCATTTTAATTATTTTAAAAGAAATTCCAGCATTCAGAATCAACTTTATGAACTTTTTAAAGATCTTCTCATTGCAGTTTGAGCTATATTCAGAAGCTTTCAGTAAAGTCATCTTAAAATGTAGTCAAAAAGAATTCATTGAAGTGCCACCAGAGCAGATTATAAAACTAGATGAAACTTCTAAGCCTTTGGATTTTTTTTCCCTGATTTCAAAGAAATATTGGATGAGGGTTCCAAATATTTAAAGTTTAGTTGTCGAAATCATCTTTTGACTGTTTTCCTGTACCTACAAAAATGTATTTGATGACACTTTGTGGGTATACTTACCTAATGCTGAATCAGAATTAAGATATATTTATTCTAAAGGCCTAATATAATTCAAACAAAATAACAATTCAACAAAATGGTTTCTCTTAGAAGCAAAATTTTATACATTTCCAACTTAAAGCAAAATAAAAATCACATTTCGGTTCAACAGTAGTTCAAAGGGCAGCAAAATTTAATTTAAATTTTATTTTTATATTCCCCATACAATTACAACCCCCTTATTTTGACCCCAAGCCCTCCTTTCCCCGCCCCCCATAGAGTATGTCTGGTTCATAGTTGTTTGTTGATTTTGATATTTTCTTTCTTATATTCTTTTTCCTGGTCCCTTATTTAAGTTTTCTAGATTCCTGCTATGAGTGAGACCATCCAGTATTTTTCTTTCTGGCTTATTTTGCTGAGCATGATCCTTTCCAGCTCCATCCATGTTGATGCAAATTGCATGTGCTTGTCTTTTTTGAATGCTGAGTAATATTCCATGGTGTATATGTACCACATCTTCTTGATCCAGTCATCTATTTTTGGGCATTTGGGCTGTTTCCAAAGCTTAGCTATTGTAAACAGTGCTGCTATAAACATAGGGGTGCAGGTGCTCTTTGGAATTGATGTTTCTGTGTCCTTTGGGTAAATACCTAGGAGTGGAATTGCTAGATCATATGGAAGCCCTATGTTTAGTAGGTCAAGAAATCTCCACACACAGCTCTCCATAGTGGTTGGACAAAGGGCAGCAAAATTTAATTGGCAAATTCCTGACTGGCCATGTTTTGCTTTCCCAGCTACCATTTGAAAGTATGTCCTTAAATCCTTTCAGAATTTCTTAATTTATTGATAACTGTAGGAACAATGAAGAATCTTGAATTATTTTAATCATAACTATTAGAATCTTGCTTTGAAAGTTACATGTAGAGATGTCATTTGTCTTTGCTATAGAACCAGGTTTCGTGACTTAACAGTTAACACAAACCTGACACAAAAGTTTTTGTTACCCCATTGCAGGAAATACAGAATACAATTTTCTCTGAGCAGTTTGTCTAAGGATCTGGTAGAAGTTGGCCAATTTTAGCACTAGATGGTGGTAGAGTAAAAATCCAAGGTTTTTTGTGACATTCTGAGGGCAACTAGCAGATTGAAGGGGCAAATTTAAATAGAAACATTTAGGCACTGTTAACATAGGAGGCTAAATGGTAGGCAATGAAAGAAAGGACTTTCTGTAGTTGAGGAAAACTTTACTTCTGTGCAATAGGCAGAATAGTGCAGTCTTTCTCAACCTATCTGTGTTAGCTTTTTTGGCTTTTTATTTTCAGACTATTGAAGTGCCTTTTTTGAAAAAGGCAATAGAAACATAGATAAGGTCATTAAAATGCAAGTCCCCATCTTTTAGTAGATTCAACAGAAACAAAATTACTCAAACAAGTTGCTTTAAAAGTTTCTAAATGCTTCCTATAACCTGTACTTACCTCCTTGCAGACCTGTAACATGGTTTTAGTAACATTAGATGCAGTACTGGTCTAAGTACACTACTCAAAGTAAACTAAACTAGGGCCTCCCCGGTGGCGCAGCGGTTGAGCGCTGGGTTGAGAAGCTGCCCGCAGCCTCTGCAGTGCCGGTTCGATCCCCGGCTGCTCCCCAGCCACGGGAGGAGGGTCCCACATGGTGCGCAGACCTCTCCTGCCGCCCGCTGCTCCCCTCAGCAGTGTACTTCGGTCCTTCTGCCTGCTCTGCTCCCCACTCTGGCTCTGGTGAATTCTCTCACCCTCCCGCGCTTCTGACTGTACCCAGTGCATGTATAAACAAAACAAACAAACAAATAAATAAATAAATAAAGCATGCCTCTATTAAAAAAAAAAAAAAAGTAAACTAAAAACCTGTTTGAAAGTACATCTCAGTAAGACAGCAGAACCTAGTTCAAAATGTGACTCCATTATCACTAGCTGGGTAGCCATGGACAGGTCACAGCTAAGAACCCCATTTTACTCATTTGGATCAGGTGAACAATTATCTGTGCTCTCAGGAGGCATGGAAATGGAAGTTGAAACTGAACAACATAATTAGTACATTTATTTATTAAACGTGGGTGGTTTTCTCTCAACTCTGCTTCATCATCTTGCTGACTGATGTTTTTTTCCTGAATAGAAAGAATGTTTTCAGCTATTATCACCCACTTAGTGGACCTTGAAACTACTTCATGGTTGTAGGCAAAGCCCAGCTCCTGGGAGATTCTTGACAAGAAACTGTCCCCTCAGCAACTGTACCCTCTTCCACTAGCTGGCAGCTTTAGTGGGCAGAGGACGGGAGGACTACATGAAGGAGTAAGAGGTCATCATCCACCCAGCCATATCTGCAGCCAACTCCATGCCCCATGTTGGCAGAGGCACTATGCTGTCAGCTCACAGTCCAGGGGATTATCACGAAACCTAGGAAAGTTTGACATGTAAACTACACTAGGTAAGGTAAAGGACAGCAGTTTGTTCTTTGATTAGTAGCTTCCATTTATTGTGATCTTACTATGCCAAACATACATAGCTTTGATTTTTACAACAATCTCGAGAGATGATCATCTTAAAATAATGAAACTAAGGTTTAGAGATAACAAGTTGCTTAAATCACAGGTTGTCAGTTATTAGCTAGTTCCAAGATGCTAGCCAGAAACTTGTGCTCTTTAACAGTGTATTTAGCACAGTTGGAAGCACAACCACACCTGTCTTTAAGGTAAATTGAATAGAACAAAATCAAAACTACTAGACCTGTTGTAAAGGCAGGACATGGCACAGGTGCAGGTTCTCTGATCCCATGCAGACCGGGTAAAGGAGGAGTCAGAGTCCTCAGTGGTTTTGCAGGTCTTTTATTGGGGTTCACCAGGCATATGGCAGGCAGGGGTGCTGGCTGGGGGGCTGGGAGGCTGGCAGGCCTCCCAGCCCCCAGCAAGTCTTTACTCTATCTGGGCTATCTGGCGTTCTCTGCTTCTGCGTCGGCTTCTCCTTCAAGTTCTGCTGCTGCTGGCTGGGGCTGCTGGCGTCCCCCCCGTGACGCCGCCCTTAAAAGCACAGTCTTAGCTCAGCTGAATCCCATCTACCTATGCCCACACCCTACTCCAGGTGCCCGCCATCAGGCATGCATTCAGGACAAGGATCCATCATCTATCCTGATGGTGGAAGGGCAGAAAAGCCTGATATTTTCTTTACCCTACACCTGTTTACAAAAGTTATAAAAGCTGTAAAGTCACCTTATACCTATAATTACTGTAACAGAAAAACTAGCTGTCACCATGAAAATGTCAGTGAAGTTATTTTTAAAATCTTGATATACCAATTTAAAAAGACTTAGTCCAAAGAGGCTATATATCTGATATAAGTATTCATTTTAACAAAAAGCTTGGAGGTTTATAGCAAAACCACTTGACATACTTACTTTGGCCAATACAATGAGTTTCAGCTTCTTTCCAAGCAGAAAGTCCTGTCTGCCCATGTGCATTCTAGGTCTCTTCCCCAAGGAAGAAAGGCCTAAGAAGTTCACAAATGTGAAAATACTCCCTGAAAAACCAATATGCTGGTGCATGGAGACAAAAAAGCAGTATAATTAAGATTTTATAAACCAGAACGTGTTTTGTTTCTGGCAGGTAAGGGGATTTCTTCATATGTTATTCTAATAAAAGGGAATTTCATAGGCAAAAGCCAATACTCAAAATTATAAAACAAATAGAACTGTCTATGAATAATCACTGCATCAAAAATTTGTAAGAGACTAAGCAGAAATTCTTTAGTTGACAAATGAGGCTTGAAGGGGTAATAAAATTTTTTTATGGCTAAAGCAAGAGTCTTATTTCCTATTGGTCCAAAGATAGATGTTTCATTTCCCAAATAAGCAGGTTCTCCACTGTAAAGAAATATTCTTGTGTAATTGGTTTCTATCTTCTTGAACTCTGCTCCAAGATCAGCCAACTTCTTATACGTCCTTAGCACAAATCGGGAACAGTCGTAGGATTCAAACCATGTCTCCGCCCCTGTTTCTGTGCTGGCTTGGACAGTCCAAGTTTCATAATAAATCCCTGTTTCATTGTCCCATTTTACCCACTTAGCCATTTTGTTAAATATGTTTCCTAGTTGGAAAAAAAAAGACAAAAGACACGACTTTGAACATCAAAGTTAATCATGCTAATTTTAAGTAAAATGATCTAATCTGATGAGAGTCATGAGTGCTTGAATGAACAATAGCTCCTGGATTTCCAAACCCACCTCTTACAATAGGAATCTAAGCTGAGCCCTTTATTCCAGTCTTCAAGGCAGGTTTTTCTGAATTGTAAACAATGGGTGTATAAAGAGGAGTCTTACATATTTATTATCATTTAAGCTATGGTCAAGCAAAATTGTACATATGCATGAGCCCTCTTTCTCCACTCTATTTAATGAGTCCTAGAGTCAAAAAACAGAATGAAAGCAAGGGAAAAATTGTGAAAGAGAAAAAAGTGGGAAAAGACAGAACAAGAATTGAAGAGGGTAAAATGCAGAGCTTTTCCGTCACAAGGCATGGTGCACAGTGGCTGCCTGTGAACAGCAACCCTATAAAGTTGGCTTACTAAAATTGTGAGAGGGAGCAGCACACCCATACACCTTGACTACTTGATATCCCCCCCATCCTTTTTATTTTTTTAACTGTCAGCTGTGTGACTGTGCTTACAACCTTCCCAGCCACTGCATAATTTCTTTCATCATGAGTCAACTAAACTGGAAATGTTTCTTGCCAAGCTCAGGGACTATGCAGATTCCAGGAAGGCTAACTCCTTTTACCTTGTAGCAGAGAGGGGAAATCTCTCAAAATGTTAACAAAATACTATATTCTCCACGGTTACATCCTTTGCAGAGCATTTATAATACCTATTTTAGAAGCTGGCTCCAAAATTTCACTTTGTCACTGGTTTAAACCTCTCTTACTACAACTTTAATCCATAAAATGAATACTTTATATCCTATAAGATGAATAGACTGGCTGCCTTTATCAATTTTGTGTTATTAAAGTTGTGGAATAATAAGTCCTGTTTTCTTAGAACTGGGGGTACTATTAATGTTCTTCAACTTTGAAAAGCCACTGCTATAATTAAGAGAAAAGAATACTTCAAAACACTATTTTATGATATGTAAAAAAAAAAAAAAGGCAATGAACAGGATTAATCACAAGGCAGATGGCTAACTTAGAAGATTTAAGTACTGGCATATTATAACTTATAGAAAACAGTAATCACTTGTTCAAATGATCATACACTGATGTCAAGAGGAAGAAGTTTCAAATAATGAGGTACGTGGAAATGGTGGAAGAAGAGATGCAAACTGGCCTGGAATGAAAGAAAGAACAGCTGTTTATTTGACTGAGCATTGTTAAATGTACTGTTGGAATGTTTGGGGGGGGGGGCACCAATTAGACAGTAGGAAGAAAAATTAGAAAATATCTTGGCGTATAGATTCCATTTAAAAGACACCAATTGCATTCCTGTTTCTTTGACCTTAAGGGATAGGTAAATCACACTATCTGGTTGAGCCTCAGTTTCTTATTTGCAAAGGAAGAGTCTCTTGTCCTCCCCACTCAACTATGTATGAGTTGACAGACACCAAAATGTTCTGTAAAGAGCCTTCCAAGTGAAAAGCAGGATAATTTCCTCAAGTCATCAGGTCCTGTTACCCCACAGGGTAATTCTTATCACAGAGTACTTTCATTTCAGATGATTCCACTTTGGGGGGAACAACAATTTATTATATAGAGCTCTATAAATAATACGGGCAAGCACCCTACCTCGAAAATGTAATGGTGGTACCACCCCATTCTACTACAAGGCAATGAGTTAATAAGGAAAATGACCAATGGTCATGTAACCAGGTTCTGAATAAGTTCTGCCAAAGTCCTTTTCTTACCAACAATACAACACATTGCAGCAAAGTTCCAACTGTTACTTTCTAGTATATACAAAAGATAGAAAAATCTCAGTGATTAAAATACTTAAATTGCTCAAGGGGCTTAAAATGCACAATATCACATGTTTGGGGAGGTGGTGTAGCAAATGGTTAAGAAAATGGTCAATAGATTTGACTGCTAGAATTCCCCCTAGTTTACTGACTTTAACTTCTTTGTCTCAGTTTCCCCCTCTGTAAAATGGGGACATAACGGTAACGATGCCAGGTGTTATATGATAAATAATGTCACACATTAATGTATGCACAACACTGCCAGGCCCTGGTAAGTCCACACGAATGGAAGCTGCTATCTGTTGACATAAAAACATTTTAATTTATCATCACATGTCTTTGAAATTCCCTATGTAGTTAACAGGCTCTTCAGTCAAATATCTTTTCAGGCAGTATGGATTTCCCTCCACTGTTTTATTTAGAAATTCCAATTTAATTGTACTAAGTATTTCATCATTTCATTCATTTTTACCATGGGAATAAAGCAGGAGATAAGCTACTCATTGTCTATAGGTGAACTTTTTTTTTTTTTTTAAGATTTATTTATTTATTTATGCAAGCACTGGGTACAGTCAGAAGCGCGGGAGGGTGAGAGAATTCACCAGAGCCAGAGCGGGAAGCAGAGCAGGCAGAAGGACCGAAGTACACTGCTGAGGGGAGCAGCGGGCGGCAGGAGAGGTCTGCGTGCCATGCAGGACCCTCCTCCAGTGGCCGGGGAGCAGCCGGGGATCGAACCGGCGCTGCAGAGGCTGCGGGCAGCTTCGCAACCTGGCGCTCAACCACTGCGCCACCGGGGAGGCCTATAATTGAACTTCTGCATGAGTAATAGTTTCAATCACAGGTTAGTGGGTTAAGCAGCATATTTTATAAATGACCTCTAGAAAGTAGAACATTCGTGAAATGCCTCAATGAGAGTAATTAATTTCTTTCCTTCCAATAGCGGGACACAATCATCAAATACTGCCATGTTTTTGAAACTCACCTGATATGGTTGCTACGAGCACTAATGTTCCATTTTCCTTCCAGTGAATATCATCAATTCCTTCATAAAAGCAGGCAGCCCCTTGATTACACCAGAAAGGGGCATTCATCTCAGGTCGGAGATGGGGAAATGTGCAGTTTCCAAGTTGAAAAAGTTCATACCATTCCATCGTGTAGTTTTTGCCAGTTAAAGTACTCCTGAATCCAATGGCATCATGCATAACTTTCTGTGTAAAGACCATACATGTATGAAAGCATTTTATAAAGTAACTCTTGGTCCAGAACCACAGAGAGAGAATGTCTATCAAGTAGAAAAACTGCTCGGCTATTCCTCTTCCACTTTGCTATTTTTTTACCCCCTTTCATTAATTTTTAATTTTTTTTTTACATTGCTGTTCCTTTTTGTACAGTATTTGATTTCTCCCCTCAGGTGTAGTCCCCGTAAATATACCACCACCCCATCACCTGTCACCATGTTGCTGTTCTGGTGTCCACTCTGTCCAAACTCCAGATCATCCTCTCTGTTTTTGGCCATTGAGCTCAGATAGGAAGGATACACGCTATGTGGACATGTTCATAATTTCATTCACTTGGAATATGAGAAGCCTCCACGCCACAGGCTCAGGAAGGAAATCAGTGTATCTCAGCAGGTGATGAGAAGCTCACATGGGAGCCAGCCTAAGACAAGTATACACAATCGGGCCTGGAAATGCAGAAGGCTTTCCTGCCTGCCTTGCGCCTTCCTCAGAGTCCTTCCTTTCTTATTTTCCAGGAGCTGGGTTTCCAGATTTGGGTTCATATTCATAATATTAAAAGGTATTAAAGTGATTGCATTGGTTACTGATGAGATCACAAAACTTGAAAATGTTCTTGACTACTCATTTTAAATATTCTAAGAACCTTAATAAACATGATCTAAAATCAGCCATTTGAACGGTGATTATTTCCTCAAATTCACCTAGTAATCAAATAATTTGATTAATCAAAGAGCAAGATGTACTCTTACCAAGTGTCCCAGGAGGCCTCCATATTTGAATTCCCATACTGGAGCTTGTAGCCGAAAAACTTCAATGACATCATCACCTTTCATAACTGGGATAGAAGAACCAGTTGGACAGAAAGTGTATTTAGCTTGACAATAAGGATCTGTGTCTGGACGGAAGGTAAAGCGCCTAATAAAGAAAAAGAAACCAACAACTTGGATCTTAACAGGAACTTGATTCTTATACATTTTAGAATCCAGATTTTCATTTCACTGTTTTCAGAGAAAACATTGAAAGCTCAGCCCATAATGTATAATATATATCTTATTTGTTACCTCGTGGAGAAAACGCAATGATGTCTTTAATAGCAAAGGATACACTAAAACACTGTTAAATGCTTGCTTCCTAGTTTGCTGCTCCCATTGTGAGAGTTTTGAAGGAGTTGTATTTTAAAATGTTTACAGTTCCAGAATTTGGAATAGTAGACAAATATTTACTGAATAAATATTTTTCATATTTAATCTCACAATCACAATTCAGATTATTCAAAGATAGATAGGATTAAGTAACATATTTCCTGTGTTCTTAAGAGTTAACCAACATTTCCTGAACCAATATTTAATGATCTACTCTATGTAGGCCACTCCACCAGGCAATAGGGAAACAAAAATTAAAAAGCTGTTCCCTTTCTCAAGTTGGTTAGGGTAAGGGCTGGGAAGACAGTAACCATGTGATAAAAGTACAATGTGGTAAATGCTAAACTAGAGAAAAATACAAAATCTGATGGGCACAAAGGAGCGAGAAATAATGCTTATCCAGTAATAGGATAGGTGGAGTGAGGAAGGCAAAGAAAGATGGCCCAGATTTCAATAATAATTTAGAAGAAGAGAAAAATGAAGTACTGTAAGTTAAGCATGCCACTTTGGAAGAGTCTCAAGTAGGTAAATAAACCTGGAATTTAGGCTTCAAGGCAGAACAGGTAGGAGGACCTGGCATTTTGCACTAATACAGGGAACAGCACCCCCTGGTGCTGTTATAGAACCCTGGGGAAGGGCTGAGCCGGGGACTGAGTTTAAAGGATTTTAAGAAGATTTTATATGGCTGAATTTGCTATAAAATATACCTTGTTTTATGAATTAGGATGGGAAGCGGTATCAAAGAAAAGAAGAAAAAAGAAAAAGGGTAGCCTGAGGAAGCCACAGCAATAGGGCCAAATGGGGAAATGCAGTTGAATTCACTTCAACAGACACTTGCTGGTCACCTTCTGTATTTGGCATAGAGATGATGCTGAGAAAAGTAAGAATCCTAGATTCCCTAATATCCAAGATCTGTTGTTTTATAGTCCTTATACAGCAACAAAAATTTCTATTTTAATAAAGTTAACAAACTTGCTGTTGGAAGGTAATAACTACTTTCTGAAAAGTTTATGGCACTACCAGACTTAAGTATATTTTCCCGTTTACCTAGTTCAAAAAAAACACAGTAACTACATCCAGGTTTCATTGGCCCACAACAAAATCTATTTTAAGTCAAAGGTAATTTCAAAAGCATAATTTAAGTGTGAACTGAAAGTTAAATTTTATTAATCTCACTTGAGGGAGGTAAGTAGAAGGGAGTACTTAAAACCTCTAGACAATCACTGAGAAGTACTCTGCCCTGATCTTAAACCAAGTAGTTCTGGATTCACAATCTCTTCTGTGGGTTTTGAATATTTAACCTTTACTTCTTAGGGACATTTTAATAAACGTTTTCAAGAAAACCAGCTTCAACACCAAACTTCTTTTTTCCATCAATCAAAACAAGGAAGAGAGCAAACCGTTCAGGGCGTGGAATACACGAACTGTCCGCTGTGAAGATGTGGCATTTACTAGATTTAATTCTCCCTACTTCTGTTTTTCTGACCCAGTAAGTGCAGGTGCAGAGAACACTGAGCAACTTCCCCAAGATCACAAGGCCAGTGATGGTGGAAGCTGACTTCATCTGCCGCAGTCAGAACCATAACCTGGCTCCTGACGACTGCATCATCCAGCCTCCCAACACAATAATATGTTGTCATCCAACAGGAGTTTGCATTTAAAAAAAATTTCTGGCCTCTGTGAATCCTGCCCGATGTTAACACCATGTTTTCTCTCTGTTTCGCCATCTCGGACAGTTTCAGGCCATGTAATACTCTTCTAGGTCAAAGGTTCAAATCACCTTCACAGATTCGCAGCCCAGATCCTCGGCTGAGGGTCAGCGACCTACCTCCAGGCTGAACAAAGTGGACAAACCCGGTCACCCACCTTCCGGGGTGCCCGGACTGCGGGTGAGGGGGATTCCCAGCGCCCCGGCCTTTGCTGCTAAAATTGGGAAGTCCCGGCAAACCAAGGCCAGCTCGTCCATTTGCAAACTGTGCCAGAGTTGACACTCCCAAGCAATGACTGCTATTCAAAGTCATCTACTGGATCTAAAAGTCCTACCATAACGTGACATCACACCTTCCCTTCCATGATTCCGGGCTGCCCCGAGTCTAGGTCACCACCACAGGCTCAGGTGTCCCGAGGAGAGGAAGGCAGGTGCGGCAGGCGCGCATCGCGCGCTGTCAACTCGGCTCCCGCGCTGTCCACCTGGCTCGCTCCGGCGCCAGAGCGTCGCCGCGCGCGACCGAGACACAAGCCGCGGGGCGCGCGCCCGCGCCCTCTCCCCGCACCCCTCCCGCGCCCCACCCCGCCAACCCCCCCGCACACACTCACTTGTAGGGCACCGGCCACTGGCGCCGGGAGGGGCCGCCCTCCGCCGCCGCCAGCCAGAGCACCACCAAGGCCCAGCGCCAGGGCGCGCGCCCCGGGGCCGCGCCCGGCCGCCCCGCGACCCCCGGGCCCGCGCGCCCCGCCCGCGCCATGAGGCGGCCCCGGCTGCTGCGGCGCCCCCGGAGTCCCGCGAGCGCAGGGCCCGCGAGCCGCGCATGCGCGGAGCCGCCGCCCCGCCCCGCGCGCGCCCCGCGCTCGCGCCGCCCGCGGTCCCGCCCCTGCCGGGCGCGCCTCCGGGGCTCGGGCCGCGCGCTGGGGGCGCCCCCTGCGCCTCGGAGCCGGCGCCCGCTCGCTCTTCCCCGCCGCGGCGCCCTGCTGCCCGCGGACATAGCCGGCCCCGCCTCGGGCCTCCCTCTCAGGTAACCCTGAGCTCTGGCTTCACGCCCGGTGTAAAGGCAACCCCTTTTTTGGAGCGTCCTCTGACGTCCCCCAGCCTCCACCCCCCAAATCCAAAATTCCAGCGGGTGGCAGGCGGCTCTCGCTCTGGCCCGGCGCTCACGCTAGGAGGTGCCAAGTATTTGCAAGAGCGGGGTTTATAGCTGGGGGGTGCAGCGAGGAAGACAGCAGTGGGGTGGTGACCAGTCCTCGCCCCATGAAGTCCGTGATGAGAACCGGGGTCCACACTGACAGTATGTGGTCCGAGGCACTGCTCCCAGCGCTCTGAATCACCCCCTCATCTGTGGCCACCCCCCAGCCCCTATCTTGTTTGCATTTACACTTGAGTGAGGAGGACGTTTCTACTTCGACGCTCTCCTCTGGCCTTTAACTTCTTCGAGGAAGCCATAGGGTGCCCCACCCCCGCTTTGGAGGGGGCACGCGTGGCCTGCCATGCTGTTACGCGCAAACGTTGATGTACGTTTGTAAATAGTGCTTTGAAGGCAGCTCATCTCTTGTTTTACACGACAGCAGCTTGCAGAGTCCTTAGACCAGGTTGGTCCAGCACTTTTACCACAACACCAGCGGACCATCGTTATATATAAACGTGTTGGAATAATTGGCTGTTCCCCACCCCCCCCATTACTCCCCACCCCCCACCACAGCAGGAGAGATGGGAGAGTCACTGGCTTCCATCAGCCCTCAGGAGGTTGGGGCGATCCCCCTTCACCCCCCGCCCCCCCACACACACACACACTCACAGACCTTAGCTCACTTGCTGCACCAGGATGGGAGTTTCTGACAGGGCCCCATTTAAACGCAATGTGCGCAATTTTTTTTTTTTTTTTTTTATAGAGGCATGTTTTATTTATTTATTTATTTGTTTGTTCATTTGTTTTGTTTATACATGCACTGGGTACAGTCAGAAGCGCGGGAGGGTGAGAGAATTCACCAGAGCCAGAGCGGGGAGCAGAACAGGCAGAAGGACCGAAGTACACTGCTGAGGGGAGCAGCGGGTGGCAGGAGAGGTCTGCGCACCATGTGGGACCCTCCTCTGGTGGCCGGGGAGCAGCCGGGGATCGAACCGGCGCCGCAGAGGCTGCGGGCAGCTTCGCAACCCAGCGCTCTACCGCTGCGCCACCGGGGAGGCCCCGCAATTTTTTTTTGTAGTTGTGGCATCTTGTTGACATCGAATATGACTTTGATAATAAATACCAGTTCCTGAAAAAAAAATAAAAAAAATAAACACCCACTTAACGAAGGGTTTGGGTGCTCTGGCCCTAGCTCTCCCTGCACCAGCACTCACCAAGGCTAAGCTGGCTTCTCCAAAGACCCGCCCAAAGGGAAGAATGCAGCCTAGCCATGAAAGCTGAAGTGCAGTGTCCGATTTGAAAAGCATGGCAGGATTGCAAGTGGGCTTGCCCTTGAGTGTCACTTGAAACCAATCAAAATAAACAGCTCTCGGCGCGCAGACCTCTCCTGCCGCCCGCTGCTCCCCTCAGCAGTGTGCTTCGGTCCTGCTGCCTGCTCTGCTCCCCGCTCTGGCTCTGGTGAATTCTCTCACCCTCCCACGCTTCTGACTGTACCCAGTGCATGTATAAACAAACAAACAAACAAACAAACAAATAAATAAATAAAACATGCCTCTATAAAAAAAATTAAAAAAAAAATAAACAGCTCTCTAATGCGACATTATAGTTTTGAAACCATACACTAGGGGGCCACAGTGGAACTTCACATCTAGCTCAGGACTTAGCAGTTACCAAAACCAGTCTCAAGTGGATGCTGGTCGGAGGTGGGGAGCTTCTGAGGAAGGGTGGAGTTTAGCTGAGGCTTCAGTGAGCAGCGTTTTGGTAAAGTCTAGACTAGCAGTCAGTGTCAGGTGTAGACTGCAAAGTAGACCCAGGATTCTATTTGCTTGGAAACGATGAAGTCAAAATAGACATGTCTAGAAATCCTCTAGTGGATGTTGTGTTCTAGGGTTGTGAAGGTTGTAAATTAAGACTGCTTTTCTCAGTCAAGTGACTGATCTTCAGGCAAAGGTGGAATTTTTCATGTTTAGCAATATAATCTCAAACAGTAAATCTCTCTAAGTCTTTTATTTTAGAGAACAAATTTTCTCAGTGGGAAAGCAGGAGGTTGTTATGACATTACAGCTCTGTTGTATTTTGGGAGAAATACTGTTTTCTGTGGCTGGCTTTATCTGTATTTTATGCAAGGCTCAGGAATGACAGGGCAGATTTTTGCACTTACAATCCTGTTTTTAAAAGATTGTTTTATTCATTAAAAACATTATTCTGAGCAAGGGTTTTTCATCAGGCTGCCAAAATGATCCATGGCACACAAAACAAATCAGCCCATGCCATGGACTGATTTTCCACAGTAATTTTAATGCAAGAGGTTTAACAGTATCTTGATGTTAACCAATATATTAACAGTTCCCCCTGGAAAAGTTTATGAAACTGCAGTACACTTACCTGTTTTATAAATACTTAACTGGTTTAATCAACACTGTGCTGTGAGCAGAAACAGACTAGCATCAAGGATTTGACACAGCTGATATTTACTTCCAGTCACCCTGTTAGGGGAAAAGGATGTCCTAAAGCTAATTCCATACAGGCTTTGTGGACTCCACCCCCACCCCAGGCCAAAGCCAAAGACACTGGGAACTCCAAATCCCATCACCATCAAAGGGAAGGTGGCTGGGACCTGAGGGTGGGGTTAAGCAGCCAAGTTGGTATAAAGGCAGACACGTGGGCTTTGGGGGTTCCCCCATTTTGGCTCTACACGAGCTAGCAGCTTTCGGCCAGCTCTGAGAGTGACTTTGGGTTTTCCAGGTCGGCGGATCCGGTAGGACGCATTAAAAACTTTATTTCCCTATTTTCTCCCTGAGTTGTACATTTTCCTTATTTCCTTTTCCCTTGTAAATAAACCTTTTGCAGAACCTTTTGTGTGTGCCTGTAGTGGAGTATTAGTAAGTCCCTTTTAAGCGCGCGGGTGAGGACCCACAGCCAGGAACCCGTTCAATATCGGGGCTGTCCTATAACAACCCTATGGGAAAAAAAATGCTACTTCCTACTTTCAGATTGAGAAATGTACACACAGAGATCTTGAGTCACCTTCCCAATATCACAACAGCTGATCCCCAGCAGTCAGATCCAGAACCTACTCCTACCACTCTCTTACCCTTTTCAAGTTCACTGTTAGGTTCCTCTTCCTCCTCCTCCACCAATGTGGGAGGGATACACAGATGTTTTCACAAGCACCTCAGCTTTCCCCTGCCTGTTGTTTCCATCCTCTTTGACACGTGCATCACTGAGGGTCTTAAGCTATGTGAATATCCTACTGGTCTAGGACTAGACTCAGGTCAGGAGTTTGCTGTTTTCCAGCCTAGCTTATGACCAGCTTGCTACTTCCAGGCTAAAGAAGCTGTGGATACTCTACTTTATTTGGCATCTAGCACACAAGAAGGGCTTATTGAGTTATTGTTGGAGGAAGTGGAAGGCTAATAATTTTTAAGATCTAATAAGGGAAGTAAAGATGTAATTGATGGAGGTGGCAGCTTTTACCTTTTCATAATAAATAATAAAACTTTATTTTTTTTCAAATCTGTACAATGCAGAAGTAACTCAAGGAGCACCTAGTTAAACAATGTAACTACATTCTTTGCTATTTCTTTCCTGGGATTATAAAGGACAACTAGGCTACATATATGGAGATTTAGACTTTTAAAATTTTCGCTACATTTGTGAATGCATCCTAGATCAGACTGTCTTAACTGCCCTTAATACAGCCCGCCCTGTTTCTGGACCTCAAATTCTCTTTTCAAGTGCCTTAAGAAATTACCTGTCGTCACCTCAGATGCAGGTGAAGGAGGTGTGATGAGGTGCCGCCTTCAGTCTTCCCTGCCAGCTTTGGAATGGTGAAAAAGCCTAAGGCACATACTTAAAAATGTTTCTTTTTAAATGTTAAGAAGTATTGTGTATCAATATTGATATTTTCTTTTGAAATAAGTTGCCGGGGGGTCCAGCTAAAGATAGAATTCATGTTTTAAAGATAATTTTTCCTTTTTATTAAGATTTATTTATGCATACAAGAACTGGGGTACAGGCCAGAGGTGTGGGGGGTGAGAGGATTCGCCAGAGACAGTGGGGAGCAGAACAGCTGGATCAACTGAAATACACTGCTGAGGGGAGCAGGGAGCAAGACAGGAGAGGTCTGCCATGCCATCTGGGCAGCTCCCTGGCCAGGATCGAACTCGTGCTGCAGTGGCTGCGGATAGGTTCATAGATTGCGTCTTAACCCCTTGCACCACCAGGGAGGCCCTAAAGATAATTTTCAAATAAAAGTTACAACTTGATAAAACGGCTTAAGGCTCCCTGGCACGTGTTCTCTTCTTTCCCAGCACAAAGGATACAATGGCTGCAGCCTCTGCATTTCCTCTGCGGAAGTTTCAGCGGGTGGGTCTAAAGTACCACCCACTGGAGACTCAGGGCCCCACACCCCTTCCAGCCGGGCTGCCCGCGGGGCGCTGCGCACAGCCCTCATTGGCCGCGAGGGGGCGCGCGAGTGCAGCGCGCTGCCGCGGGATCCTGCAGCGAGCCTCAGCGGTCCTGGGCCCCGGGCTGGCGGCTGCGGCTTTTGCAGCGCCCCGGGGTGCAAGGCGCTTCTGCGGGCTGGAGCTTTTGAGGCTGGGAAGCTAAGTACCAGTAGCCTCTTTTCTTCAGGCGCGTCATCTTCTCTGGACAGCATGAGGAATGGTGGACAGAAGCTTCGGAAGTCATTTTCCTTCCCCGGGTTTTGCTTCTTTGTAACTTTATTATTTTTTTTAAGATTTATTTATTTATGCAATAACTGGGGTACAGGCCAGAGGCACGGGAGGATGGGAGGATTCACCAGAGACAGAGCGGGGAGCAGAACAGGCAGACAGACGGAAGACACTGCCGAGGGGAGCAGCGGGCGAGGCAGGAGAGGTGTGCTGAGCCAGGTGGGTTGCTCCCTGGCCGGCCAGAATCCAACCGCGCTGCGGAGGCTACGGACAGCTTCACAGTGCTGCGGTCACCCCGCTGCGCCACCACCCGGGAGGCCCTTCTTTGTAATGTTAAACTATGCAACAACTTTCCCTCCACCAGCTGGTCTTGGTCTCCTCCTACTGAACTGCGCTTTTCTTTGGGCATAAGGGGATATCTGGGGATGTCTGTCATCCAAGCCTGTAAGCAGGGGAGAGGCCGTTGTGGTTCACCCTTTACCTGCCAGAGCCTGAGACGTACCATTGGGTTACCCCTTGGCCAGAAACGTGTTTTGGGTTTGGCTTTGCTTTTTTGCAGTAAAATATTCATAATAGATTGTACCATCTTACCATTTTTAAGTGCACAGGTATTAAGTTCATACACACTCTTATTCAACCACACCACTCTCCATTTCCACAACTTTTTTCTCATCCTAAAACCCAAGTGATTCCCTGAGAGATAAGAGCCTTAAAGGCATTTCTTGTTATATTGATAAGGTGACTTTTGGAATGCTTGTAAGGATGTACTGATTGTCAGAGAACCAGTTACAGCCATCAGAGAGGGTTGGGAACTGAAGTTTCCACCCTTCCGACCTTTGGGAAGGAGAGAAAGGATGATGGCTCATTGAGTCACTATGGCTGGTGATTGAATCAGGCATACCTAAGTACAGATGTAGATGTCTCCTTAAAAACCCAAAAGGATGAGGTAGGGAGTGCTTATAAGTTGGTGAGCACTTGGAGGTTTGGGGAAGTTGCCCCCTGGGTAAGAGCTTAGAAGCTTCCAACGCTTATCCCATACTAAATTCCTCATCCATCTGGCTGTTCCTGAGTTACATCCTTTTATAACAAACCAGGATCCTAGTCCTGTGAGCCCCTGTAGCAGATAGAGCCTAAGAAGGTTGAAACCTATCTGTAGCCGGTTGGTTAGAAGCACAGGTGGGACTAGCATCTGAATCTTGACGAACTGAGCCCTGGGGTATGAGGTGTGATACTATCTCCGGGTAAATAGTCAGAATTGAGCCAGCTTGTGTCTGAGAATTGCTTTTTGGTATGGGAGGAAAAGCCACATACTGGAATTGACTGCCGATTATTACTATTATGCAATAGCGACACTTCTCCATTTCCTTCTCTCCTGGCCCCTGGTAACCCTCTATTCTACTTACTGTCTCTGTAAATTTGGCTACTCTAAGTACCTCTTGTAAGTGGAACCATGTACTATTTGGGCCCTTGTGGCTGACTTATTTCATTTGGCATAATGTCTTCAAGCTTCATCCATGTTTTAGTATGTGTCAGGCTGTCCTTTTTAAAGAGGGAATGAGATTCCATTGTATGCATATACATTTTTTAATCCACATTTGGTGGGTGTTTGGGTTATTTTCACCTTTTGACTGCAGTGAATAATGCTGTTATGAACATTGATGTACAAGTATCCGTTGAGTGCCTGCTTTGCTTTTAATTATTTTGGGTACAGGCCTGTTAGTGGAATTGTTGGAGCATATGGTAATTCTATGGTTTCCCTTTTTTGCAGAACCAGCACACTGATTTCCGCAGTAACTACACCATTCTTTTTAATAATGCTTTAAGATATACTACTCATTAATCCTTACTGTAGGACTTGACATCTGAAGTCAGAAGACATTCCTAATCCTGAGGAATTCCTATTTTTTTTTTTATTTTAAATCTTTTCTTTTTTTTTTCTAAAGATTTATTCATTTATTTATACAAGCACTGGGTACAGTCAGAAGCGCGGGAGGGTGAGAGAATTCACCAGAGCCAGAGCAGAACAGGCAGACCAACGAAGTACACTGCTGAGGGGAGCAGCGGGTGGCAGGAGAGGTCTGCACGCCCCGTGGGACCCTCTCCTGGCGGCCGGGGATCGAACCGGTGCTGCAGAGGCTGCGGGCAGCTTCGCAGCCCAGCGCTCAACCGCTGCACCACCGGGGAGGCCCGGAATTCCTATTCTTGAGGGGCTTGCTGAATTTCTCTAGGAGGAAAAATGCCTTGCTCCACATCATTTCTAGTTAATGCAAAGCTAGACATAGAAGCCAAGTCTCTTGTCTCTACAACTTAGTAAAGGAAACCATTTAAACCCAGTGCCTGGGGCCTCCTCGGTGGCGCAGCGGTTGAGCGCTGGGTTGCGAGGCTGCCCGCAGCCTCTGCAGCGCCGGTTCGATCCCCGGCTGCTCCCCGGCCACGGGAGGAGGGTCCCACATGGCGCGCGGACCTCTCCTGCCGCCCGTTGCTCCCCTCAGCAGTGTACTTCAGTCCTTCTGCCTGATCTGCTCCCCGCTCTGGCTCTGGTGAATTCTCTCACCCTCCAGCGCTTCTGACTGTACCCAGTGCTTGTATAAATAAATCTTTAAAATAAATAAATAAATAAACCCAGTGCCTGTTTAATTTGAAGGATATTAAAATTAAAATGACCATTTTTTGTATTTGTTCAATAGTAATTATTGATTTCCTAATGGGAGAAAGACAACATCCTACAATGTTTTAATGAGTCTACGTCTCTCTCCTTGAGGTGAAGTCTGGTGGAGACAAAGGAACTTGCTTATTCAGTGCAACAAATGCCTTAGAACTTAGATAGTTTCCAAGGAAGTGTTGAATGTGCATTTCACCATCATCTTCACATCCACCTTGGGCAGGTGAGAGTCAATCTGTTTCTAGAATTACTGATTTAAAACCCAATTCACATTTCTTTGCCCTTCAAAATGCCCTTCTTGCCCTTAATTATATCCACTACTAATCAGTGGATACAATTCCTATCACAGATAACTGTTATATATATATAAAACTACATATATGCATACCTATTAATGCATGTGTGTATACAAACGTGTATGTGTATGTATATGTATATGTGTATTTGATATATACATATATATCACAGATGGGAGATATTTTTAAGATAATTTTATGAAATCCAAAATATGGAAAAAGAACATTAAGAATGTTAATATTTATTTTTGTCAAATACAAAGTTTAGAACTAAGAGGTATAGACTCGTGATCTTGAACTTGCTAACCCTGATGACACCCTACCAGAGACTCAGAGGACACTTGACTCAGACCAGTTTTGTCCACTTCCACAGAGGACCTGAGATTTGAGGGTAGAGCAGAAGTCAGTGAAGAAGATATGACTTAAAAACATCCCGCCCCCAAATATACAGGTGCCTCCTCCACCTTTCTTCCTTGCCTCTCAATCCTGCTGGGTCCCCAGATCACTGCCATGGAAGGATCCAAGCGCTGAGGGTGGGAGGACTGGAGCAGTCCCCTCCCCACCAGGAGTCTCTGATGGCAGACTGTGGCTGTCAAAGCAGAGCTTCTGGGGCCAGAAGTGTGGACGTGTCAAGTGATGGCTTCCAAATGGTCTGCTTTGGGTTCTGGCATCAATGCCTCTTGGAATTGAACTCAGAATTCTGATGTGGTAAGTTTTATCTCACTTTCTTTAGATCCGTGGTTGCCAACCGTGATAAATAGAATCAGCTGTGGAGAGCTTAAGACCTACCAATGCCCAGGCTGTCATTTGGCTCCCAGAGGCTCCTATTTAACTGACCCATTTGGGCCCCACGTAATTCTAATATGCAGTGGGTTTTGAGAACCACTTCTTCAGAAAGATTTCAGGGAGTGATTTAATCAATTTTCCCATAGTTTTGAGCCCTGTATGTTCTTATCTATAAAATTAGATCATCTTTCTATCTCTTTAAAAAGCACATGTATATTTTTTCATTATGCATGTGTGTGTTCATATTTGAAACCAACCATTTTTGGTTCCATTTCCTTTTGGAAACTAATTTATGGCTTTATTTTTTTACCCTCTGGAAGTCCCCTGGTTTCTCCCTGTGGTTGAGCTGTAATATTTGTAGATGGTGTTGGCCCTGAAGGCATACAGAATTGCTGTGGTCTTCTGATTTTCCTTTCTGGTTTAGACTCTGAGATTGATTTACTTGATTGTTTTCATACAGGCGATGACATCATTTGTTTCTCTTTCTATTTTTGAAGGTGAAGATATTTGCTCCTAATGCCGAGCAGATGCACATCATTAATCACTTGAAAGGGAGCCCAACAGAAGAGAAGAGAAATGTGCTGGAGGAAAGTGCCAGAAAAACCCATGGGGACATACGCAATTTGGCAGAGCTGAACTTGAGCGAGCTTGATGCTGTCATTATACCTGGTGAGTTAGCTGAAAGCTGTGAGGCCAACTGTTCATTTTAATTAATGCTCACTGACTTTAAACCCTTCTTCCTGAGCAAGTGATGCAGGCTTGCCTCCATTTTGAACCCTTCTGTTCCAGGCTCTAGGTCTGTGGTTCTCAAACTTTGTTACACCCAAGGGTCACTTGGGGAACTTTGCTTTCTAGCCCCACACTCCCACATCAGAGGCCAGTTACATCAGAACTTCTGGGGGTGGAAACAGACATTAATGGTTCCTGACACTCTCCAGGTGATGACACTGGGCAGTGAGGTTGGCAAAGCAGTGCTCAGGTCTAGTGCCACCGTGGTTTCTACCTGGCTGCACCAGAAATCCCCTGGTGGACTTCAAAGTCATCAATGTCTATGTCCCTATGAACTGGATTTTAGAATTTGTTTAAATTCCCAGATGATTCTTATATGCAGACAAATTTAGGAATGAATGAATGACTTGTCTCTCGCTTTCATGGGTGTCTTAATCACCTGGAGATCTTGTTACACTGCAGATTCACACTTAGCGCCCGGGTGACAGGTAACACATGACAAGCAGTCCACATTTTGAGGCCTCAACACTCTAGAAATCACAGTGGAGGTTTGCCTATCTCTGGACCTTTTCAGTGCAGGAAAATGAAAAATGAAATTCATGCCATTTGCAGCAACATGGATGGAACTGGAAGGGCTTATACCCAGTGAAATAAGCCTGAAGGAGAGAGATTCCAGTTGGTGTCACTTGTATGTTGTAAGGGTAGGAATGGACACAGGGCAGGTTTTCTATGATCCAGCAGATTGGGCAAAGGAGTCCTCAGTGGTTTTTTTTTTTTTTTTTTTTTTTTTAAAATGTTAGGTTTTATTTTTTTTTTTTAATAGAGGCATGCTTTATTTATTTATTTATTTGTTCGTTCGTTTTTGTTTATACAAGCACTGGGTACAGTCAGAAGCGCGGGAGGGCGAGAGAATTCACCAGAGCCAGAGCGGGGAGCAGAGCAGGCAGAAGGACCGAAGTACACTGCTGAGGGGAGCAGCGGGCGGCAGGAGAGGTCTGCGCGCCATGTGGGACCCTCCTCCAGTGGCCTGGGAGCAGCCGGGGATCGAACCGGCGCTGCAGAGGCCGCAGGCAGCTTCGCAACCCAGCGCTCAACCGCTGCGCCACCGGGGAGGCCCCTCAGTGGTTTTTGCAGGCTTTTATTGGGGTTTACCCAGTACACAGCAGGCAAGGGTGCTGGGGGGCCGGGAGGCTGGCAGTTTTCCCAGCCCCCAGCAAGTCTTCACTCTACCTGGGCTCGCCGGCCTTCTCTGCTTCTCTCTCAGCTTCTCTTTCCGCTTCTACTGGCGTCCCCGTGACGCCGCCCTTAAAAGCACAGTCTCAGCCCAGGTGAATCCCATCCACCTATGCCCACACCCTACTCCAGGTGCCCGCCATCAGGCATGCACTCAGGACCGCAAGGATCCATCATCTATCCTGATGGTGGGAGGGCAGAAAAGCCTGACATTTTTCCTTACCCTGCATATGTAGAACAGAAAAAACCAAAGTGTCAGGCAAATACAACCTTTAAGATCAGCCCTTGAAAACTAACCAGAGATCTTGGGCTTTCAGAGGGGGAGGGGAGGCAAGACATGTTGGTGGGGTGGGGAGAAGAACACAGTGGGCTGTGTGGAGGATGTGCCTGCTGAGGTGGTGGGAAAGCTCTGGTGACCACACCTGAGAGGGAAAGTCCTTTACTGTCAACACACTCTCAAGGATGTAAAATACTGGTACTTCAATACAATATTTTTTTAAAAAAAGAATGATTTAGAAAAATAAAAGATTGATTTAAAAATTCATCATCTTAGTTTTGGCTTCATTTTATTTAACTCCCTTCATAAGGAATTGTGTGTTAGGTATTTTTTTTTTCAAACTAAACAGTGAAAATTGGTTTTATTTTAAAAGTTCACAAAATCCTTAAGCATTTTGGATGCAATCTAGAGATTTTCCACAGTGAGAATCAGAAATTACTGTTTTATTATCACGAGTATGTTGCTTGTGGACACTATAGATAGGTACATAAATAGACTGCTCACTGGCATTTTACATAGAAAGTTTTCCAGGTACCTGTTGCTGAAATTTAGGGGCTCAAACAATAATTTATCACCTTTTCCAGTTCTGCAGGTTGATTTGGCTTAGCTGGACGGGGCTTGAGATTTCTCGTATAGTTGCGGTCAGGTTGTGGCTGGGGCTGCCGCATCTGAAGGCTTGACTGACTGAAGGCACCATAATGGTATCTGGTGCCTGGTCTGTGATTGACAGAAACCGTTGCAGTCTGGCCATGCAATAGTTCGGGCTCCTCAAACTCCCTACGTGTCAGAGTGGTTGAGTTCCTTACTTGAGAGCTGACATCATCCAAACAAGCCTGCAGAAGACTTAGACTCTCCTCTCATGGTCAGTTTCAAAGTCCTGGGGTCTCTTATGCTGTGCTCTATGGTCAGGAGTAAGACCAGAATCAAGAAGAGGAGACGAGGAGAGGGTGTGTCTCCTGGGAGGCTTGGGCTTGGAGCACCATCTTCAGAGATCTGCTCCACATTGGGTGCAAAATATAAACTTAGAGGGGCTTCCCTGGTGGCTCATGGAGTCAAGCACCACACGATGAAGCAATCCACAGCCCCTGCAGCACGAGTTCAATCCCCAGCCAGGAAGTTACCCATGTGGCGCAGCAGACCTCTCCTGTCTCGCCCGCTGCTCCCCTCAGCAGTGTATTTCAGTCAGTCTGCCTGTTCTGTTCCCCATCTGTCTCTGGTGAATCCTCTCACCCCCTGCCCCTATGGCCTGTACCCCAGTTCTTGTATGCATAAATAAATAAATCTTAAAAAAAATAAAATATAAACTTAAATATCCACAAAACCCCAGAGAGAAAGAGAGGGCATGAGGAAGATTAGGTTTATTTGAGCTGCTGGTATTTTGAGGATTTACTCTTTTGTTTCATTGCAAATGGCATTTCCCTGAAACAACTTTGTAAAGATTATTGGTCTCATGCTGAAATTAGTGTTTTCACCTCAATAAGAGACCAGGAAAAAGACTAATCAATACAAAGTAAAAATCAAAATCAAAAGCAACTATAAACCAGAGACACGAAGTGGGGGGAGAGGGGTGGAGAAAGGAAGGACTAGAGTCAAAATAAGGGGGAGGTGCAATTGCATGGGGAATATAACCAAAATGAAAATGCATACATTGTGCAAAGATGAAAAAAGATGTAAGAATTATATAAAATAAAATACTTAAATTAAAAAAAAATTAGTGTTTTCACATCTGAGGCAGTATTACTTGTAAATCAATCTAGAATTTATTACTGCTAATAAAAAATCTTTTATTCTAGCACATAAAGACAAACTTTTTAAAGAGAAATGAAGTTATCTCAAATGCCTTATTAAGTATATAATTTTACTTTGTATCAAACTTAAAATATCTTTGAAATATTGGTCATGATGAGTATCCCAACTTGTGTCCTCAGATTTTCATAATGTAGATGAAAAGTGTTTTTCATTTTTTTATTATTATAATGAAAGCAATAACAGAAACCTTTTGTGTCTGTAAAGTCCACCTCTTATAAGGTTATGCTGAAGTTATATAAAATCTCGTGTTTTTTTGGGCATGTATTTTAGTATTTGGCTCAAAAAATCTCTGAGCAACTTTGCCAAATATAGCTTGCCATACTGACTTTTAAAAACAAAGTTAAGGAATTAAAATAAATGTCAACTCCAGAGGAGCCATAGAAATGCTATTTTTACTTTCAAATCATGTTATTGCGCTTAAGCACCTTAATTCCTTGCTTAAGAATTCATTGTTTTTAGATTCTTCTTGTCAGCTGCCTGAAGTCATCCCGGCTCCTGTGTCTTTGCAGGTGGTTTTGGGGTGGCTGAGAATTGCGCTGCTGACAATTCTGTAAAGGACTCTTCAGCCTTCCACTGTGCTAAGAAGCCCATCAGCTGGTGCTGCC